TTCTTCCTGGGATGGGGGGTAAATAACTTTACTACAGTTAGTATGTATGGTGCAGAATTTCATGCAAATGAAGTGTGCCAGCAGTGTGATAATTTAAACGTATTTAAACAAAAGACGAATGCACAAAATTGCTGCTGCTTAGATCACTGCAGCTTCTAGGACCCAGTTTCTTTTACTGATTTAAAAACAAAACAAAACAAAAAAATAAATAAATAAAAAAGTTGTGCCTGAAATGAATCCTGTTTTTTTTATAAGTAGCCCCCTGGATCCAGTGTCCTGTTGAATACGGGCACTTGATCCTTGGTGTAGCTTCTGTTCCACTTTGTATCACGGGAATGGATTGGCCTGATTTCTCGGCCCTCATCTTGAATTGGCCCCAAACAGGGTCTCTGGCAAGTGGAGTGAAGGCTTTTGTCTAAAGATGACGAGAGTCAGCTCAGGGGTTGTGGGGGAGGGCGCTTTCATCTTCCCCGTTGTCATTTGAGTATTTGATCTCTGGGTAAAGAGGCCATTTATCTTTGTAAACACAAACATTTTTGCTTTCTCCGTTTTTCTGTTAATGGCGAAAGAATGGAAGCGAATAAAGTTTTACTGATTTTTGAGACACTAGCACCCAGCGCTTTCATTATTGAACCCGGGGTGGGAGGGGCGGGCCTGGGTGCGGCCAGCCGCAAGACTCTAGGTCGGAGGCCCACGTGGCCGGGGCGGGACTCTGGCGCCCTGGGCGCCTACTGATTACGTAGCGGGTGGGGCCGGAAGTGCCGCTCCCGGAGTGGGGGCTGTTCATGGCGGTTTCGGGGTCTCCGACAGTTTCGCAGGTTGAGGTTCAAGAACCTCCCGAAGCGGAGTCGGCGGAGCTTGAGGTAAGGCCTAAATAGCATCGGACTCCACAGCATGCGGACCCCTGGCGGGACAGGAAGACGCAGAGACTCGAGGAGCTGGAGACAAAGGCCTGGGTGTGGGGGACCTTCGCTGGCTGCGGCGGTCGGTGGGGTGATCTTCGGAGCCGGAAAGGGGAGTTTCGGGAAGTGGTCGTGCCTGGCGGACCCCAGAGCTTGGATTTGCAAGAGGAATAGGAAGGGGGCTCCCTTTCCCGTAGGTCGAGGGCGGGACTGAGTGTAATTGAAAAGTAGAAGCGGGTCTTAAATCCAAGAAGCTGACCTGCAAGTCGTTTTTGTTTGAATCACTTTGAGACCTTAGTGGAAGGCCACATGTATCAAATAGATACCTTTGAAACCGATTTTAGTAACTCATAAAAGTCCTTGAAGTACTTTCTTTAGGTTTGGCTTGCCAGTTTAATCGTGATTGCTGCTTTCCTACAGGTTCTTGCTGGTGTGAAATGACTGAGTACAAACTGGTGGTGGTTGGAGCAGGTGGTGTTGGGAAAAGTGCTTTGACAATCCAGTTAATCCAGAACCATTTTGTGGATGAATATGATCCCACCATAGAGGTGAGGCCCAATCCACCGCCTGGCCCTGGCTCTCACTTTTGGCTTTCTCTTACCTATATCCTCTCTCTGTTCTTTGAAAGAAAGGAGAGAAAGGAGGGTATTAGAGATACTGTATTCCAAAAACAATTAATTTTTACAGAGTTTGTAGAAAGAAGTTCATGCTTACTAAAATCTTCCTTTTCAGAGTCGATAGTTTTCATCAGTTTGTAAACTGTTGCGAATACAGTGCTGCGTTCATTCCATTTCTTCATATATTGCAGCTGTTAAATAGACAAGTAGGTCACGAGGAAAAAGACTGTAGAAGAAATAGAGAACTCAGAACTCTGCATAGTCTCCAGTTTTCATTATTGAGCTAGTCCAGACTGAGTTAGGCTAAAAACAGATTGAGATTTTGAGTCATTGTGCCTCCGAATTCCATTTATCTCTGCAATTTAGTTATGGAATATTGAGAAAAATCACCTAACTCTCCATGAGTCTCATTTTTCTTCATGGTGTTAAATTTTCATAACCTTACTAGACTTGGTCTAGGTGTGTGTAAAACCCAGGATTCAAGAGGCTGAGGAAGGAGATTCTAAATTCAAGGCTTGCATGAACTGCATATTTGAGACTATTTACAAAATACCAAAGAATTTTTTCATATGTAAACTTGTTCTTCTACCATAGGGGTGCTATGACAAATTTGCATATCTATAGAGGCTACTTTTTTTTGTTTTTGTTTTTTCAAGACAAGGTTTCTCTGTGTAGCTTTGCGCCTTTCCTGGAACTCACTATATAGCCCAGGCTGGCCTTGAACTCACAGAGATCTGCCTGCCTCTACCTCCTGAGTGCTGGGATTAAAGGCATGCACCACCACCGCCCGACCCTGAGGGTACATTTTAATGTATTCACAGAACCATATATAAACACAGAACAATACAAGCGCATTTCCAGTACCACAGATAAGGCCGTCGAAATGTGGGAATATTATATAATAAAAGTGAGATTATTGCCATAAAGCCATATCAGTTGTTTCTGGAGTTTGTTGTTTTTGCTAATGATTTGGGGTTTTTTTTGTTTGTTTGTTTGTTTTGTTCTTAACCTCATAGCCCAGGCTGGCTTTGGGTTTTGTTTTTGTTTTTGTTTTGTCTTGTTTTTGAGAATGGGTATCACTGTGCTACCCTGGTTGGCCTGACACTCACTTGCAGTGTAGACCAGGCTGGCCTTGAACTCACTGATATACTGATATCCATCCACGCTGCTATCCCCAGCATGCGCACGCACGTCTGTGTGTGTGTGTGTGTGTGTGTGT